AAGTCTACTAATACAACAATGTTTTCATTAATAAATCAAATAATCACATTGATGCAGGTTGTTGTCTGCCAGTACTCCTGTGTGATTCGAGCAGTGCATTTGACCCTGTCAATCATAAAATACTATCTTCAAAATTGGAATATTATGGAATGAGAGGTGTTTTGCTCAGTTGGATAAACTGATTTCTACCGAAAACGGATCAATTTGTGTCATTGCAAATTTCGAAAAATAATAGTACCTACTTTCACATTTAACTATGACAGAAACAACGATGGCTGTTCCACAGGGCTCCATATGAGGTCCTATTTTAATTATCATCTATGTAAACAGCATTGACTATAATTGAAGACAGTTGTTACACAGCCTAGGCTGATGAGTTTTGATTAATTGTCTCTGCATCTGATACTACAATTTTAGAAAATAAATGTTTGGGAGCATAAAAACTAGTATCCAGTTTTTAATGGGCACGGTTTATTTTTCAACACAGATAAAACACAGGTTATTCGTATTCGCAATCTCCAGTAAAAAATTTAAAATCTCCAGTTCAACGTAAATAATATCTTTAAAAAGTGATGGTAGTAGTGTTTTTAGATATTTATCTGAATGAATTCCTGAATTGGAAAAGTCATTGCCAACATCTGATATCCTAACTGGAGTTTCTTTTCAATAATTTAAGATCGGTATTGACTAGAGTTTGGTTATTTAGTATCTATTATACTCATGTAGACTCTAGAATTAGGTATGGTGTTTGTTTCTGGGTACGGTCAACTTCAACACAAAATGCATCTGTTGCACAAAAGCGCATTGTATGATATATGGCAAATATTTCCCAAAGATATTCTTGTAGACAGTATTTAAAAAAATATATTTCAACTTTAGTATCAGCTTATATATTTGAAATATGTTTTTGAAAATAAGTAAAATTTTACATTGAATAAGAGCATTCACTACCACGTTATGAGAAGCAAAAACTAGTTCTATGTGCCAATTTCAAAATCAAAAGTGATTTATTTTGGGCCAGAATACATTGGTCCAAAAATCTACAATAATCTTTCCTTACCAACTGTATAATTTCAAACAAACACTGATTGTGTCTTTAAGCTTACACATATCTTGGAGATAAAGATAAGCAGATTTTGCGTATAAGTGGCCACTTCCATAAAAATAGGAAGAATTCTTTCCACGCATTTTAAATGTAATTTCCAATTGCCTGTACGTTCAGCCTGTATGAAATCTTTAACCAATGAGATCATTTGCCAGTACTGCATCCAAAGTTTTGCGGTAGGACCTCTTTTTTGTACTAATTTTAGATACTCAATAAATTTTTCTTTTATGATCCAGCAAAAATGTATTCATTAGCTACTTGTAGCTGTGTCCGACAACTCCATCGATAATGAAATTAATTCAGACAAGTACCTACTAAAAGTGTTCTCTGATAGCTCGTGCATATGCGTGCTCGGAAAGAGCTTTGTCGGACGAATTTTCGACATATATTTCACAAAAAGCCTCCTTAAGTCCACTACCATCCATGATGTATTCAATTGCTCCGAGGAACGACATCAATAAATGAAATCCTCCAAGTCTTATTTGGATTGAGGATAAATTGTAGGGATCATTATTCAAATCAATACTGCTCAAGATTTCACGAGCTTTATGGTGTATTGGTTGGTCAAACGTTACGAACACAATATTTTGCTCTTGTTTAGCCGCTTCTACCAACGATGTAAAAATGGTATCATAATCACTCGTTGGATTTTTTATGAACGGCACAGGAATAATTTTTGAAGTACGATAAGTCAAATCAGTGTGTACCTTTTCCATAAACCCATTCCAACCATCGGATTTGTTGTTGGCAAATTTGGAATAAGAACATGTAAAATCTGCCGAAGAAATTTCATAGTTGTCGGTAACATCTATCTTCTATCTGAACTGTTTTCAATCCATCGGAATTTTTGTTTTCAAAATTAGTTTTGCCGGAAATCGAGATAAATCACTTTTTACCCTTAAAAACTCACCCCTTCCATTTCCCGAACTTAGATCGCCCGTAATTTATTTTTCCTCTCATTTTTATCATATTCCCATCTTTTTCTAATGGGTTTCATCCATTATTTTTTCACTTTTTACCATTTTTGAAGGCTTCAGCCTTGATAAACGTTTCGACATGGACCGCCGGACGAGATTTGCTCTTGTCTTTTACTGCAAGGCAACTGGATGAAAGCTGTAGTGAAAGACATTGGATGAAAGCTGTAGTGAAAGACATAAAACGAATCTCGTTCGGTGGTCGATGTCCAAGCTTGACTTTGCTAAAGATCGGAGACTTGTTTATCTTTTATATTCGTTTTTTGAGTCTTCCATTGATCCAATAGATACCTTTTTCGTAAGGAGAGATGTCATTGCCTTAAATGACTTTACTTTTATGGTTGAAAATGCTAGTTGAAGGTTCAAATTTACTTATTTTGTATAAATTACTAGGGATTATTCTTTGCGAATGGTATAACTCCTACACATTTTTATAATCATTTTTCAATCATGTGGTGAATTAAAGATTGGAAATTTTATCCTAATTTAGGAAAAAATGTTTTCATTATCACATAATTTATCTAAATTACTTTTGTCATTTTCAAAGTGGAAATGTAGGAACATTTTTTATAAAAAGTGTATTTTTCATAAACTGTTCAAGATAGTACATTGTGAAATTTGATTTAATTTTGCCAAAAATGTTCCACAAAACATTATGTTTTGAAAATCTTTCCCCTCTCCTACACTAAACTGATCCTAATATTTCCTAAAACTTTTTTTTACGTTTCTACACAATCTAAAATTAAGATATTAACTATTTCTTCTGATTTGAAACAGTTTATAATCTTCAAACAAAGTAAAATCTGATCTAGCAGGCTATGTCAACTGACAACTTACAAAATCTGATTACCACAAAAAACAAAATCACTCTTCATTAATTTCTCAGAGTATAATTTGAAAATGTGTTTTTACTAATTTGATGTGTGGTGAAGTGTCTGGTAATGAATATGAAATTCATTGTATCCGACGGTGGATTGATGGTTTTTCAAAGGTTTGTAACATTAATATCGTCTCCACTCTTAACTCATTGTTTCAATTTAATTATTTGACAATTTTTTTTCTCACTTTATTGTTAATTTTTAAGCTGCTTGTGACCGCTTATCTAAGAAAAAGTGAATTAGTTATCTAATCTAGTCTCCCATTTCAACTGACAACTCACAAAATCCAATTGATAGAAAACACTAAATAGCTTGTGACACCACTTTTATTTACAAAATGTAGTTTTACTCTGTGCAAGTTTTTTACGAATCCAACGATGTCGGTCCATTTTTTTATTTGAAAAAATCAATTTCTGAGAAACCTATACAGAAAGAGAAATGGATCGCTAGCGAGTCAAACTGTTTTTGATAATAAATTGTTTTCATTACTGGACAGCGGCTTGGTGGCGAGATTTTATTTAAATTAATAATAAATTTTCAAATTTAGAATCTATCATCATGGTTTTGAAATTCAACTGTTATTTCTCATTAATGACTCCTCGGTTTTCTTACTGAAGTAATGACATGTTTGCAAATCATGCACATTCAATATCTTTGTGTTGACGAACTACAACTCCAGCCCTTACATTGATAAAATATTTTGGAATAATAGCTGGTTTTGACTATTCTGAATGCATTTCCTGATATATTTCAAACAAGTATTTTGATTTTGGCCCAAGTCAACTTGGGAAATCGATTTAGGTGATAATGATACGAATGACCATTCATATCATTATCATGCTTTTTGATTCCTTTTATTCCTCCTCATTCAACAGAATCTTAGGAATGAGCAGTGGGAATCTCTAAATGTTTTTCCAAATTGTTTTCACTGTCAATGTTATTCTTTGCGATAAGTTATGCTGGTTGTTTTAGCGTTCCAGTTGGATTCCAGCAATGAACGTTTTAATAGTAGTCTGAGGATGATACATATGTCGAACATCTTATCGAGAGAAGCATATTTTTATTGATTTTTGGGAAAGAAGCTTTTTAGTTTTTTACTTATACATTTCCAAACAAAAAACGCGGAAATATTTGAAAGAAGGATGAACAATTAAGTTCGAAATAAACTTTACAAATATAGAAGTTTCTTTCAGATACAAACTGGAAGAAAAAACCCTCCCATATGAACATTCAAAATTAGTTTATATTTATGCATGATCTACGCATTTTTGTAAAGAGTTCATTTTGAACTTGATAATAAAGTTGGAGAAGTAGAAAGTGAAAGTTTTTTTCCCAAAAATTATTCCTTCATGAAAAATATACGCCCTTCAACTTAAACACGATTCCTATGGCTAGGAATGTATCAAATAAGTGCATGAATGTCTATGCATACTGTCACACAATTAATGTTAGGAGTACAAACTGAGTAGTAGTTGTTTCAAAAGTACTTTTTTCCGTATAAGTCAATGTTCATGTGAAATAAGTTGTTTTGTATCTGAAAGTGACTTCTATGGATGATCTACACATCTTCATGAATTCTGAACTTAATTGCTATCTTTCTTCCTTTGTAAAGTTCCCATTTTTTTGTATAAAGATGGATGATCTGATAACAAAATGGCTGTGCCTTCGTCCCAAGCAGTCAAAGCCCTGTCACACAAAATTATCTGTAAATGTTGCGATCACGATTCATTAATTTCAGCAGTTGCATTAAATTGGTAGTACTGACCTAGCTTTCAAACATTACCGTCTAGTTAAAAGTTGATATGAGTGCTTCAAATACTTTTTACTATTTCATAATAGACACTGTTCCTGTGAAAGTTGTCATGTACAAAAAGTTACCTTGTATTTTCTAAATCATACATTGTTGATACTTGCACAAAACCAATTTAGAACTATGTATTAGGAATTATTCTTTTGTCTTGTTGATAATATGTGTTTTTAGGTGTATATACGTAAATACTCACAAAAATCAATATTATAAGGTAAAAAATTTAAACGATGCTCTCAGTATATATGATATATAGAATATATTGTATAAAATATTCGAATTGATTTTATGTAACAAAATGTAGGATTCCTGCACATCAATAGAATACATCGTTTCGGAATTCCTATATCACAAATTTAAATTCATTCTTTAACATATGAACCTCTCTTTACAAATTGAAGAGGCAAAAAAGTCACTCTTAATTTTTTCGAACTGGTTAAAGCAACTGATCTCATGGTTTCAGCTGGTGCTTGGTCCTGGCCCGATTAATTCCTCTTCTCTTTGGATATCCAACTGTGCTTGCTCTTTCATCTGATTTTCTTTTTCCTTGATTTGCTGCAGTTTTTCCGCTCTCTTCTTCAACTTGATACTTTTGTCACGAAGCTGCCTCATATCCTTTTTTATATTCACCAATTTGCCCTGATATTCCGTCATTTTCTTGAACATATCCTGCAGCCCTGAAGAATATTGCGCTTCTGCAAGGCTCAAGTTCTCATCATGAATATGAGAAATTAGAATATTTTGTTTGGAGCTTAGTTCTTTCAATTGTTTATTAATATTCTGCAATGGTGACTGATAGAGACTGACTAAACCTGCTGAAAGGTTTTCCACTGCTGGTCTATAGCAGTTTTCTCCTTGGGTAACAATATCAGACATAATATATTACCTTCAAAACAAAAGGCAGAGTAGCTGAAGTTTGAAAGAGGATTGATTTAATGAAAAGTTGGAAAATAGTTATATTTTTGTTTACATTTTTCAGTCGTAGACACACATGTCCACTTTGACACATGTCCTACACAAAATAGCAAAAAGGTTGCACCACAGTAGAGGTGTTTTCTGGCATATAATCCTATTCGAGCGTCTATTGAAAAACGTTTCGTAGTGACGTCATTAATAATAAGATTCGCCAGAACGGAATGATTCAATGGACGATTGTTAGTGTTGCCACTACAAAATTTTCGGGTCTAAATCGACTGATATTTTCTAGGCCTTTTTTGGAATAATTCAGAGTCGGAACATAATTTTTAATTATCCCAGAAAATAGAATAATTTGTGGCAAATTTTCCTATCAACTTTTTCTATCAGAACGATCCTGTTCTACTGAATACAATAAACAATAAGTGAATACAACAATAAGTGAATACAACAATAAAATTTCATATGGTATATGACATGTGACGGTAAAATGACAGAATTATCACTATTAATCAATGTACAAACTTAAAATTCCCTAGGATTTTAAATTTTTGTCCATATCAACTTCAATACTTCGATTCATATATCCTGGAACATCCAGATATCTATAAAATTAAAATTTGTATCTGTTCCGACTTTGAATTATTCCAAAAAAAGGCCTAGAAAATGTCAGTCGATTTAGACCCGAAAATTTTGAAGTGGCAACACTGAATAGGGGTACTGGAATTGTCCATTTGTATCTGATGTCAAATTCGAAAATAAAAACAAACTTTTCAATCAAAGTTTTCAGCACTTTATAAATTATAACGACCAAAATAAAGCAGAAACTGACGTAACGTAACGTCAAATTCCGTTTCAAAACCAACCTCACGTTTCAAATCATAGTTGATGTGACGTTATCGTTTCAACGCCTGAATGAATGTATTTGAATCACAGACGAATACGTTTTGAATACATGAGCGCCAGAAAACACCTTAGGACTTCATAAGCGTTCTACTGTGGTTGCGCTGAATGCTGTGTAATGTGTATATACGCACAGAAGAATAAATAATCAGAATTGTTACTCCTATTAAGTAAGCGCGCAGACAGATGAATATTTTGTCACTTGTCAAGACGAATTTCTCATTGGTTGAAGTGGACAAACGACATGCCAACCTGTCCCTTCGATATCGCCAACGCTGTTTTTCTATGCAACTCGGCGGAGGTCAACGAAATTGACTTTTTTAGATCAAAGGCGACGCATCTGGGTGTTTATTTTAATTATTTACCTTTTTGTGGTGAAACCGATTTTTAATTCAACTAGGCAGTAGGCGAGTTGTTAATTTCAAAGGAAAATTTATAATCGTTTGCTTTAACCCAAAGAGACGCGCTAACGTTTCGAATGGAGTAAAAGATGAATCCAACTGATTAATCGGTGGATGAATTTGGGAACTCAACTAGTATATCGGACATTAAAATGATTTTCCAATTTCAAAAACTGATTATCATCAGCACAGCGGTTGGATTCAATAAATAAACATTCAGTGGTAAAACGACTTCAACCGATGGAAACTGTTGAACGTAAGCACTAATCTCAACATACCCCAAAAACCTTTCATGGATTGTAGTTGTGACATCCATCATATTCTCAAATCTGTGATTAGCAGTTCAACCGGTCACCGGTGCCATACACCAATCAATCGAGGTTTGTAGTTAATGGATTAGATTTAGATGACAACTGAAATTTACAAAATTTGAAGAATAGAAGAAATTCTTTATCTCTACCGAAACTACTGAAATTTCTTGTGTTTTTAGATATTATTTGTCCAACAATGCTACATTTATTGAACAAATTTGTATTACTGATGAATTGATGTTGAATATAAGGACTCGCCATTCTTGTTACCTGTTTGACTTTGGTCAATTTCTAGAGATTGAAACCGGCAGAGTTGATACCCACTTATTTTTTTTTCTCATTATCATTTTCATCATTACCATCATTTGTACTCATTTTTCGTTCGGAATTTCAAGAAGAATACAGTTGGCATTCCCAAAAAAAATCTATTTTTCCGTTAATCAGGGCAATAACATCATGAAGAAGCCTCTAGATACTATAGTACCTACTTGGTTTCATTCTCAACTTTTTATAGTAAATAATAATAATGAAAAAATGCAATCTGATATCTTTCAATATTCAAGGAATTTTTATTATGTAGGTCGGTAACCATTTTTCAGTAGGTACTGCTGGCAAATCTCAGTTTTCTGATTGTAAATAACAAATAATGGCTATAATATAATCAACTGACATGAAAATAAGATATCATGTCAT